GTTGCGAGAAGAGCCACTGTGCTATACGCCACATGACATAAATGAAAAACGTAGGAAAGCGTTTCGTTAAATTGGCGTAGTAATTGCCTCATGTTTGTATGCCGTTTTCCCTAAAAAGGGAGTTCCTAGATTTCGTAGCATTTATCATGCAAACATTTTGCAGTGTTTTAGGCATGGGGCAGAAAGCAGTAGGCTCAGAGCAATAAACCCCAGCTGGGTCAGTGGTTGTCTTGGTCTCGCAAGGTTATGCGATAAGAGGCTGTCCTCTGCGTAGTACGTATGGGTCACAAGTATGCAACCCACGTCTATCTGTTGGAGGGAGCCGATAAACTTCTCCGCCATCGATGTACTGCTGTTCTCGCCGTTCGTCATGTGATTATATCGCGAGCGCGTCTGGTAGAAGAATGTCAATGTCTCTTTGCACGGGATGACTGGCTTCTGACGCTCTGTGACAGTCTAGGAGACATGGCTTCTGACGCTCTGTGACAGTCTAGGAGACATGGCTTCTGACGCTCTGTGACAGTCTAGGAGACATGGCTTCTGACGCTCTGTGACAGTCTAGGAGACATGGCTTCTGACGTTCTGTGACAGTCTAGGAGACACGGCGTCTGACGCTCTGTGACAGTCTAGGAGACATGGCTTCTGACGTTCTGTGACAGTCTAGGAGACAACTCGCGCTTTCTGGAATGTAATCAGCTCGCTTCGTTTTTTAAATATATCTTCTTGAAAGCCATTTAAACAGGTTTACTACTTGGGTAAAAACTTGGTGATGGGCGCCAAATGACCACTGTTGTCGACGTGCCCGAAAATCCCAATCAACCATGACAACACAAGCCTTTTGACGAATCAGTGTATTGGAAACATTTCAGAACACACATGTTGAAAAAGCAAAGCGAATGAAATGTATTATTTTTTAGTGATGCAAAAGGAGCTCAGTGAGATTTCTGTCGCGGAGTGGCCACTACAGTCAAAGATTTCAGCAGATCTGGTACCACGGATCAAATGGGACACGCCTGATCTAAGAAAAAGTTAAAAGCACAGACGAGGTGGCATGCTTCCTTTAAATGAACTGTTCCACATTTAGGTTATGGTTATGAAATAGTAATATGCAAGCAGCTTGGATACAAGTGTATTCAAAAGTAATATGCAAGCAGCTTGGATACAAGCGTATTCACTTCACCTCGAATCGTGCACTTCGCGAGTGGTGAACTGTGTCGTCACTCAGATGAGCTGCGATTTGAATTGCTTGGCGCGTTGCATTTGCCGGCTGGTGGTCTCGTGTACCTCAGGGATCTTGCGCCTTCATTAGCAGGAGGGCTTACTGGTGTGATTCAATCAATACAAAATAGGGTGGATATCTTCGTCACTACCTTCTGTATTTCTAGCTGTTCCGTTAGAGTGCAGCGCGCTGCATGAATGGAACACAAAAATATGCAATAAACAATGAACTAAGCATGAATTGAGTAGTCAAAATGCGTTTGGTTTGTTCTTCTCTGATGCGTTTTTCTTTCCGCATAATTTTATTGCCACTCGAATGTCGTGATTGCTCGCACGCCTTTGGCGGTGAAGATGCTTAATGTCATAAAGTGTCGGTTGCATGTAACGGAACAATCTGACCGATTAGATGAGAATTGCGCCTAATGCAACATGTCTTGCGTTCTGTTGTCTAAATAACAAACGGCGTCGTTCCTGATAAAATGCGTGCAGCCGGCCTGCCGTGGACTTCGTGTGCATCTATCAGGACCAAGCACGTTTCGGCTGCCGTTCGCGGATGTCAGTGTGCTTGCAACATCATGAGCTCGTCGCGGACATCGAAGCAAAGGCCGCGGTGTCGGCACTGGTGGTGGTCGACCCGGCCGGCTCCCCCCCCCCCCCCGTGCCGGGAAGAGCTGGGCGGCTCGGCCGGCCCACCCGAGTCCGCCACGCTGAACAGCGGCCAGTTCCCGGACGGCCCAGTCGCGCCTGAGCCCGCACGGACCGAGGAGGCACCGCCACGCACCATGAACACTTCGGTGACGCTCTCGGGAGGACAGCGGATGCCGCTGCTGGGACTGGGCTGCTGGCAGGCTCCGAGCCAGGAGGTGGCCGCCGCTGTGGAAGCCGCCCTGCTAGCTGGCTACCGGCACATCGACACCGCGTACCTCTACATGAACGAGGACGGCGTCGGAGAGGGCATCCAGGCCGCCCTGAAGTCGGGCAAGATGACCAGGAGCGACCTCTTCGTGGTCACCAAGCTGCCCAATGCCGGCATGCAGGAAGGCAAGGTGGAGAAGTACCTAAAAAAGTCGCTGAAACTACTGGGTCTTGACTGCGTCGATCTGTACCTTGTCCATACGCCGTTTGGGTGTGTGGAGAGAAGTGAGACGGACGTCTTTCCCTCGCAGGATGGTAAACCGCTGATAGAGTTTTCGACTGACCTGATCGCCGTGTGGAAGGAAATGGAAAAGATGGTGAAACTTGGCCTGACAAAATCGATCGGCGTGTCCAACTTCAACGCCAAGCAAGTTCTGAAGATAGTCTCCAATGCTGAGATACCTCCCGCTGTGCACCAGGTGGAATGTCACGTCTATTTCCAGCAGCGCGCACTGCGCGAGGCGTGCAAGAAGCACAACATTGCCATCACAGCGTACGCTCCGCTGGGCTCCCCCGGCCGCAAGGTGCTGTACGAGAGCCGCGGCGCGACCGTGGAGCTACCGGACCTGCTGAACAACCCGGTGGTGCGCCTGGTAGCGGAGAAGCACAAGCGGACAGCAGCGCAGGTTCTGCTGCGCTTCCTGGCCCAGCAGGACATCATTGTCATCCCCAAGTCGACCAAGGCGACGCGGATCCGTGAGAACGGAGACATTTTCAGCTTCCAGCTTGACGAGCTGGACATGGCGGCGCTGAGTTCGCTTGACCAGGGCGAGCCGGGCAGAAGTTTCCACATGTCCATGTTTCCTGGCATCAGCGATCATCCGGAAGCTCCCTTTTGGACGCCGTTTCAGGACATGAAGTATCCTTTGTGACCCTGCGCTGTCCCTCTGAAACGGTGGAGCTCTCCTTCGTCTTATCCATGTAGAGTGACTTTGTCACATTATAAGATGTCTGCGCGGTTGACTCGTGCTATTGTTTCGATAGAGCTGCATTTTATTGCGAACCATTGTGTTGGGCACGGAATACAGTGTTCGAGGCATCACTCGTCTATATGACCTACGAAAAGTTGCGATATGTTTCTGCAAACTACACGAGTTGCGTGCATTGAAGCGGCGAGAACTCTGGGCGAAACGCATGTGGTCTAGTGTTCATATATATATATATATATATATATATATATATATATATATATATATATATATATATATATATCAACAGAAGTCCGTCGTAACACACGCCCTTAAGAAAGCTCAGGGATCGGTACTCTAAGGCATTCAACATCTTCAAGGTCGTCTCGAGGATATCTTTCGAGGCTGACCCCGTAGAGGACGCTGATTCGCTCCATGTTTGAGTGCGGGTGTCACGCGTTTGAGTGTGCGAGTGACTCAGCAGAGCTCACTCTTGGCACTGTGCACCACGACTGTGTGCGCACATCGTGAGTGATAACATCGTGAGTGGGACATTTCGAGCCAGGCTTATCGCGAGCCTTCTAATGGAGGTAAACGAGCCGCCGTTATCTCCGACGCGGGATACTCAGCTACGCTACGCATTGAATGTCGCTCAGCTGAATGCAAACCGGCCTTTCAGAGCATTTTTTCAGAACACCTAACGCGACTTTTTACACCAGGCAGAACTAGTGCCTTAAAACCGGTCTGTGTACGAATCAGCAGAAGTCTGCAGGATGCAGGTATTATGTGGCCCCAATGAGACGCCTGGCACGCCCACCTCTGGAGCTGTCGTCGCTATCTTTCTCCCTGCCCATCGGCCAAAAGATGCAAGACTGCTAAGAAACTTCGTTTCGAGGCTCTTCCAAATGCGCACCGAGCACCAGACGCACGCACGCACGTACGCACGCACGCACGCACGCACGCACGCACGCACGCACGCACGCACACGCGTGCGCACACACCAATATATATAAGCATATGAATATACATATATGTATACATGACATCATATTACATACATATTACACACACACACACACACACACACACACACACACACACACACGCACGCACGCACGCACGCACGCACGCACGCACGCACGCACGCGCACGCGCACGCGCACGCGCACACGCACACGCACACGCACACGCACACGCACACGCACACACACACAGATATATACAAAGCGTGCATACGTAAACCTGTAGTTCATCGGAAAATCCCCAGATGTAACGCGGAATAGACTTTTCTTTCGGGCGAACAGTACAAGAAGAATAAAGCGACCGAATAGTTGTAGTAGTTAGAGAGCATAATCGTTATGATTTCTGATGGTCATTTACCTGAGTTTTACGAATGCTACAGTGCTGCGAGATGCTCCCATGAGGCCCTCTGGTTACTGCATTTTCTATTAAGGTCTTGTTAAATGTAGCCAGATCTTGGAGGAACGGGCTACATCATGGGGGAAAATTACGTGTGATGTTAAGATAAATCTGAATTCATATGTTCATGATTTTTAAAGCACTTAAAGCCCGCATTTTCCACTCAATAGTGGAACGTAATACCAATTCGCGGAGATTATATTTGACGTGAACCGTCAACTGATCACAACATGGCTGCCGGAGTCGGGTGCGTCTGGCCGCGGACCAGAGAACGCGCCAGGTGCTGCCAACCTCAGCTGTCCAATCAACGACACTCGCGGTACGAAATGTCGTTCTGCTGGGGTATGAATGCGGAAGCAGGTATGCCAACTCTTAGCTGCAAACTCGTGCTTGGGCCCTGATATCTGCCCTGTCTTTCCCTGCCTGAATTCGTAGCGGCCGTGCCTGACCCAGAGTGAGGCGATCCTTCAGCAGCGTGATCGCCCCCCCCCCCCCCCCCCCGTCTTGCCGGGCTGACCAGGACCGCCGTGTGCCGTGCAGACGACTCGATCGCCAAGCGGATCTGTTGGCTGCTGACTGAGTGCTGCTTGAGCGCCCACCAGCCGGCCCAGGCGCTGGAGGCCATCAAGTTCATCGAATCCAAGTTCACCGCCAAGCCGGAGGACGCCAGGAAGAAGGTGCGTCCGGCGCTACGGCGCGACCCAGCCGCCTTGTCGCGCCGCTGCTCGCTGGCGCGGTCCATGCAACTAAGCGGCAGGCCCCTGTAGACGCGGCTGAGGGAGTGTTTTCGTGGCGGTCGGCAACTTCGGCTGAGGTATTACGCATGCCCTGTTCCAAGACTGCTGGCCTGTGGGTTGCGCAGACAGGGGAGCGTGACGAGCGGGTGTAAACGCTGCTCAGGTGCGAGTCGTCGTGTGCACCAGCGCGGGTGCATTCCATTGGATCGTACGGTTTTGGACATTGTATTCGTCAAGTTAAAGCCGCTCAGCGTTATTGATCATCTAACCTCCGGAGAACGGCAAGACACCACCGACGCCATTTGTCGTCCCGTTACTGTTCCCGATCCCGACCCCGGTCCCAGTCCCAGCTCCAGTCCGGTCCCAGGCCCGGTCCCGGTCCCGATCCCGGTCCTGGTCCTGGTCCCAGTCCCGGTCCTGGTCCCGGTCCTGGTCCTGGTCCCAGTCCTGGTCCCGGTCCTGGCCTGGTCCCAGTCCCGGTTCCGGTTCCGGTTCCGGTCCCGGTCCCAGTCCCGATCTCCCGGCATGGCCGCGTGTGACGTCCCCTCTACCGGCAGGACGGCACGCTGACCAGTCTGGCGCTCCGCGTGCATCGCTACCGGCTGCGCGCCTTCCTGCAGCTGCACAACATGGCCGACCTCGCCTCCGACATACGCCACATGGCCGACACGGTGCGCCGATCGCTGCGACCGCCCGCTGCCTTACTGTGACCGTCCGCTGTCTTGCTGTGACCGCCCGCTGTCGTACTGTGACCGCCTGCTGTCTCACTGTGGCCACTCACTGTCGTACTGTGACCGCCTGCTGTCTTACTGTGGCCGCCCGCTGTTTTAGTGTGACCGCCCGCTGTCTTAATGTGACCGCCCGCTGTCTTAATGTGACGGCTCGCTCTCTTACTGTGACTGCCCGCTCTCTTACTGTGACCGCCCGCTGTCTTACTGTGACCGCCCGCTGTCTTACTTGACCGTCCGCTATCTTACTGTGACCGCCAACTGTCGTACTGTGACCTCCCGCTGTCTCACTGTGACCACCCGCTGTCGTACTGTGACCACCCGCTGTCGCACTGTCACCGCCCGCTGTCTCACTGTCACCGCCCGCTGTCTCGCTGTAACCACCCGCTGTCTCACTGACCGCCCACTGTCTTACTGTGGCCGCCCGCTGTCTCACTGTGTCGGTCTGTGACCTCAGCGTGCCGGTCTATGACCTTGCCGTGACCGCCCGCTGTCTCGCTGTGCCGGTCCGTGACCTCGCCGTGCCGGTCCGTTACCTCACCGCGGCCGCCTGCTGCCTCCCTGTACCGGACAGGAGCTCACTGTGGCCGTTCTCTGATCTTACTGTGTCAGTCCTGTGATCTCTCTGTGCCCGCTCGCGGTCAAACTGCCTGCGTCGTCCGACGCTCCCCACTTAGGGCACTTATGTATTGCCATGAGAGGCTGTAATCCCAGTCTGATCTCTATCTCGCCATCGCATTTCTCTGCTGTCTACATAGATGATGTTGGTGTACCTAGACTTTGGAGAGTTACTTAAGTGTTGTACTGCCGTCAATGTACGGATGCTAATGTTTGAAGCGTAATGTATTGATATTGTAACGGAATGCGCCCGACATTCATGTGTTCCCAGTTGTGGTTTCCATTTATGACCACCCATCTTTTGTTTTGCCTTCTGGGCGGGCTCCGAGCTAGACATCTGGGCGGATCGCGTGCGAAACGGCACCGGCCGCTGAAGCTGGGTCGGCCTCGAGTGGCGTCGGTTCGCCGGACGTGCGCAGGCCGCGGGCCCAGCCGTCTAACGTCGCCGCGGCCGGCCACAGGACATGAGCAAGGCGTTCATTGAGAGCTACAAGGAGTACCTGAGCGGCCAGGGCCGCGCCGCCGTCTCGGTGCTCAACCGGGTGGCGGCCATGACGCTGCCGGCGTACCGGGCCACCGGCGAGCACGTGCCCACCATGTACTACAACAACCTGGCCTGCATCCACCACTACCTCAACAAGCCCAACGTGGCCGCCTACTACCTGCAGAAGGCGATGGCCGAGAACGATGCCGCCACCGCCGTGCCGCAGACCAAGGCCGAAGGTGGGGACAAGGTGTCGAAGCCGCGTTGTTTTTCAGTTCAGATATGCTGGTATGTGCGCTGGTTGAGCCGGCACTTAGAGTGCGCCACCTTTGGGGCGTGTGTCAAAAACGTGTTCTGGGAAGCTTCGGCCAGTGATGTCTAGAAATAGCACAACAAATACATTTGCAGTACCACAGGATGTAAAAACCAACTTAAGTTATGCTTTTTGAAATCTTAGTCGCGCGGTCAATGGTCCAGCACTGCACTAAATTTCTCCTTTCTTTGTTGCCCCAGATCTGGAGTGGGCAATCCTGGCGCGGACAGTGCATTGAAGTGATGCATGTATTGTAACCTTCCTGACTGTTCGTATGGATTTCACATCGATCCTGCCCAAAACCCCTATAACAAAGAGGGGAGGGATTTTTACGAGCACCAACAATCACCCCTGGGTACACCTGAAGTGTACCGTCAGAATGGGATCCACCATTTATGAGCATGAATCGTGTCAGTGAAAATATGTTTTTTATTGGCACAGCGGGCGGTGCCAGCCATTTAACGAGAAGTCCTTTGACGGAAGTTTGAACATGTGACGTGGTCAAGTGACGCACATGCACTGGTCACGTCATGTGATCTGTCTACACATGTACTGGTCTACATGTCTACACATGTCTACACATGTCTACACATGTACACATGTACACATATACCACTTTCATTATGGTCAGCATGTCCTGGTCTTTGACCCACTGGCGTTTCCCCGTCGAAATACCTTCTTTAAATCAAAGTTCTTGAGTGTTCAGAGGCATCTCGAGAAAACTAGTACTACCGACCAAGTCGGAAGCGTCTGATCTAACTACGAGCGAAAAGTTCAAAAAGGGTGCTGCACTCCCTTGAAGGCAATGCGCCCAGCGCGTAGCGCTCTGCCCGTCCGTCCCAGCGTCCCAAACCTATCGTATGTTCACGGAGGTTAGGTTTACATAAACCACGGTTGCGACGGCCGTGACCTTCACAGGCACCACTGTCGGCTCGCACCGTGGCGCGTACGGCTTCCACGGTTGGCTGCTGTGGCTCCTCCGCTGCGGCGACCTGACCTGACCTGACCTGACCGGGCCGCAGGGGACCGGTACGGCAGCGTGCCGATCCACACCATCGGCGGCTCGCGCCATTACGAAATCGTCTACAACATGGGCCTGGCCAGCCTGCACGCCGGCCGGCCGAAACGGGCGTTCGACTGTCTGACGGAAGCGATCCAGGTGTACCACACCAACCCGCGCCTCTGGCTGCGGCTGGCCGAGTGCTGCGTCATGGCGCACAGACAGGTGCGTGCGTCCGGCGCGCCGGCGGGCGCCGGAGCCGGGCGGCGAGGTCACTGCGAGTCGGCGGCGCGCGCTCGCCGGACCGGGCATGTGCCGGGCTGACGTGGGGCGAGGCGGGGCGGGCTGGAAAGGGACGGATGGGAGGACCTGGCCTCCGCGGGAGGTCAAGGCGGCGGGCGCTTCGTCCTCCGGAGAGAGCGTGCCAAGGTCAGGGAAGGCATGCGAGGGTCATGCCCGGGGTGAGCACTCTGCAGACTGGGCTTCGCACGGCCTTCAGTGGCGTTTGTCCAGGTGTCGGGACATGTCGCCGTGGTGAGCGGCCCGACAGGGAGCGTCCTCGACCTGACTGCGGAGGAGGGGAGGGTCAGGGGAAGCTGCGCTATGTACTCCCCGTATCACCGATGGTCAGGGAACATCTGAGCGCAACTGCACCTGTCCCGATCTGACAGCACCTGAGCTCATCTGTCATGACCTGACCTGACCTGGCCTGACCTGCGCCGTGTTTAGGAGCGGCACGGCGAGCAGGGCGCCGGTGGGAAGCGGCAGGGCCTGATTCAGGGCACCATCGGCGCTGGCACACACCGCAAGCTCGTGCTGCGCCCCACGACCACGCCCAGCAGGTGAGCACGTCAATATATCATCGCCGGCTCTGTGGAAGCCCGGGGCTGCCCGCCCAGGGAGACCACCCACATGCCCAACACAGACTGTGACTGGAATCTGCGTCTGCCACCGGTGCAGCTTTCCGTTGTCCGCTATTGTCGAGGTGGGAAATTACGGTGCCAAGTGGGACACGAGCTGGAATTGGTCGTTGAGGTCACATCAGTGGTTGTCCACGTACGCCATCCAATAGTGAAGGGGTCACCGTGCTGACTGACGCACGTCTGGTGACTGGCTGACTACTGAGACCGGCGCTGGCTGGCGACCTGTGACTCCTGAGACTGGCTGACCGCTGAGACCGGCGCTGACTGGCGCTGACTGGCGACATGCGACTACTGAGACTGGCTGACCGCTGAGACCGGCGCTGACTGGCGCTGGCTGGCGACATGCGACTACTGAGACTGGCTGACGCTGAGACCGGCGCTGACTGGCGGCTAGCTGGCCTGCGCTGACTGGCGCTGACTGGTCTCGTCTTGCAGCGGCTCTGACCAGGTGTCGGCGGCCATCCCCAACCCGACGCTGGAGTTCGCCTCGCTGGCGCTGCGCAACGCCTGGCTCATCCTGGGCGAGGACGGCGAGGGCGAGAGCCCGGTCACCGTCGAGCCTGCCAACCCGGTCACGCCCGACCAGGTCAGCGGTCAGAACAGGGTCACGCCGACCAGGTCAGCGGTCAGAACAGGGTCACGCCCGACCAGGTCAGCGGTCAGAACAGGGTCACGCCCGACTAGGCCAGCGGTCAGAGCAGGGTCACGCCCGACCAGGTCAGCGGTCAGAACAGGGTCACGCCCGACCAGGTCAGCGGTCAGAGCAGGGTCACGCCCGACCAGGTCAGCGGTCAGAGCAGGGTCACGCCCGACCAGGTCACTGGTCAGAACAGGGTCACCCCCGACCAGGTCAGCGGTCAGAGCAGGGTCACGCCCGACCAGGTCAGCGGTCAGAGCAGGGTCACCCCCGACCAGGTCAGCGGTCAGAGCAGGGTCACCCCCGACCAGGTCAGCGGTCAGAACAGGGTCACGCCCGACCATGTCACTGGTCAGAGCAGGGTCACGCCCGACTAGGTCACTGGTCAGAGCAGGGTCACCCCGACCAGGTCAGCGGTCAGAGCTGGGTCACCCCCGACCAGGTCAGCGGTCAGAGCAGGGTCACCCCCGACCAGGTCAGCGGTCAGAGCAGGGTCACGCCTGACCAGGTCAGCGGCTAGAGCAGGATCACACGTTGTGCGATGACTGAGGACATTGAGGTCATGTAATGAATCTATGTATTCTGCAGGTGTGTTTGCGCCCACCTTGCTGTCCCGTTGATGACCCTACTATTCAGGGTGGTGATGTGTGCTGGTCACCGGCTGTCCACGCGGCACGTACCACTTCCCTCCGGTGCCCGTTGCTGTCCCTGGGCCTGGAGTCGGTGGTTGCCCTCAGCGTCGGTGTGCACCGTGTGCTCTGCAGGTGCAGACGATCCGGTGCTCGGTGCTCTCGGCCGCCGCGTACGTGCACTTGTGCCTGGGTGACCCGGTGCTGGCGCTGGAGCACGCCTGCAAGCTGCTGCACCAGCGGCTGCTGGCGCCCGTCCAGCGCCTGCTAGGCCACCTGTACGCCGCCGAGGCTCTGGTGCTGCTCGATCGCGTGGACGAGGCGCTCGAGCATCTCAGTCACGAGCTGGGCGGTGAGGACGACACCCTGGAGGGGGGGGGGGGGGGATGATGCCTGTCAGCTGGCCGTTCGACGTATGTGTCTGAGGGGAGGGGACTGTGATGAGGGGCAAGTGCTGGCACTGGCGGTGATGACGACATCGCTTGGTGCCGCTAGATGATATGCTGTTTGATGTTTCTCTACTATGAACCGGGCTCATTTGATAGCGTGTTCGGTCCAGTGGTATCTTCACGACATGTCTTTGAGCGCATTCAGGCCCCTCCCTGGATACCTCTCGCACCAGCGCGACCCTGGAGCAACAGCCCTACACTCTGTCCGCAGGGGACATGTCTCTGCACGCGCCGGGGGTGACGCCGTCGCCGGTGGAGCAACAGTGGTACCCGTCCACGCCCCTAGGGGCGCGCATGTGCCTGCAGTATAACATGGCCGTGGTGCGGACCATCCGCGGCGAGCTGGACCGGGCCTGGGACCTGCTCAGAGTGGTACGATCAGGGCTCCGGGCGCGCTCAGACACCGGGCCTGGGACCTGCTCAGAGTGGTACGATCAGGGCGCCGGGCCTGGGACCTGCTCAGGGTGGTACGATCAGGGCTGCGGGCGCGCTCAGACACCGGGCCTAAGACCTGCTCAGGGTGGTACGATCAGGGCGCCGGGCCTGGGACCTGCTCAGAGTGGTACGATCAGGGCTCCGGGCGCGCTCAGACACCGGGCCTGGGACCTGCTCGACACCGGGCCAGGGACCTGCTCAGAGTGGCACGATCAGGGCTCCGGGCGCGCTCAGACACCGGGCCTGGGACCTGCTCAGAGTGGTACGATCAGGGCGCGGGGCCTGGGACCTGCTCAGGGTGGTACGATCAGGGCTGCGGGCGCGCTCAGACACCCGGCCTGGCCAGAACGGTGCGGTCTTTGCGACTGACCAGCGGGCACAGTGGCGCTTGTTCTGATGTGACGCTGGACATGCGGGGCGGCGGCTGACGGGCGGAGACGAAGGTGGGGTGCTGATGTGACGCTGGACATGCGAGGCGGCGATTTTTTGATGACCCCTTCCCCATCCGCAGATGAACCCGTCGTCTCCGGAGGTGCCGCCGCAGGTGGTGCAGCTGGCGCTGTACCTGCAGCTGAAGCACGGTACGCGTCGCTCCCACCGCCCAGTCATTTCCGTCGGCAATCGCGGACCAGCATGGTGCGCGATTGGTACTCCTGATCTGACCTGGCCCGACCGTTAACTGATGGACCCGTGACTACCGTTTCCTGACCTTTAAGAGACAATTACCCGGCCATTATGCTTACAACTACGTGGCTGTAACATAACCGGGAGCAAGGATAGCAACAGGCAGGCCCCCTCCCACGCCTCCAGGTTGCACCATTCGAGCTGGCCGTTCAGGCGCGTGTCAAGTGGGCCTCTGCGTGGCGAATGTTAGTTTTTGAAAAGTAAGTGTTCGACTGGAATTGGCGCTACCGTTCTGTTGCCGCGCTCCAGTGTTCATTGAAGAGTTTCGCTGTGTTCCAAGTAGCTTATTCAAATCGGACTTTACTCGGTAGTGGCTGGCCTGCTTTCCGCCCGGTGCTATGGGCGCCGAGCGTTGCTATAACTATCATTCGCGGTCACTGTATAGGAGGGTTTTGCTCGACAACAAGCACTACGGTCTGTTCAGACGGTACTATTGCTCGTTTGGTGATTGGCTAGGCTGGTGATTTGGTCCGTGTTGGCCACGCCAAAGCCGTCCGGCGTCGCGATCTCCCACGTGACGGTAGGCGCGTGGAGGTGCACGCGTCGAGTGCGGCGGTCGCGCCCACCTGCCGTCCTACCTCAGCGGCGTGTCGCCCTCCGCAGGGAACCTGGACATCGTGCGATCCATCATCAAGCAGCACTCGCCGCAGTACCGCTAGTGGCCGCCAGGCGACCACGTCCTTCGGGCCGCCGCCGGCGCCGGCCCCCGGGCGTCGCTCACGCAATATCCCCCCGCCGGCCGACCGGCTGGCGGTGTGATGCCCCCCCCCCCCACATCCTCCTCCCCACGTGCTTCCGCGTCTGTTTGTGGTACTGAGAAATACACTGCGGGCTTCTTTGCCCAGCTTATCCACCTCTTTGTCTGAGGATTATGGCAGTGTGGTTCGGCTTGGACTAACGCGCGCTGCGTGCTGGGATTTGTGCGCATGCGCAGCGGGTCACGCGTGATGTTACAATAGCCAACATTGGGCGGAGCAATGACGGAGTTGCATGAGGCTCATGCTATTTATCGCGAACTGCGCGTGCGCTCGCAAATGCGATAGTGTTGCGTGTGTCAATGGTAGTGTTGCGTGGCATTCGTGTATGCACCGTTCTGAACTGGAATGCATTAACTCCACTAGGAGCCCATTCTTCAGGCAACGTGTGTTTGTTGTCATCCTTGTCGTTCAATATGTAGCCGATCACAGCTTTCTGTGGGCTCTTGTACCACGATTTTAACAATGCTCGGATCGGCGCGGTAAGGCGCCACTTCTGAGCATATATTATTCACTGACCGCTTACTGATGACACGATTGGTGTCACTGCGTATGTGTCGCGCCTTTGCCCCCCTAATTGCCGCACATCCCGTACGGCACGGACACTGATGATGAAACGCCCGCATAATACAAAACGGCCATTAGTTTTTGGCACATTTGTTGACAATACTTGCGGATCTTATAGATCAAAACCGTATCAAGCTGTGATCATTGGTTGGACAAGTGTCGGTTTCCAGAAGGCGCGGTGGCCAGGTCAGGTCAGCCACTGGACTTCAGCAATTTCACAGAGGTTAGGTAGGACTCCTCCGGTACGCGACCCCGCTGGTGGCGACAGCGGGTGCTATCCTGCTCTGGACGAACCGCTAGTTGGTATATGGGGACAAAAGATCAACAGAATCCTGCAGATCAATCAAGGCTTGCCGCTGCAACACCTCTAAAGACAGCAAACCTGTATTGGTGTCCACGGCGTGGAACACGTGGCCAGAAAGTCACATCGTAAATAAACCGGTCGTGCTGCTCGCAAAACGTCGGTGACATGGCGTTGAGTAGCTTGACGATCACCAGGTTCATATCATTGGCCTCCAGGAAACGTCATCACCGGGAAGGCAGGCTACTGTCTGCAGAAGAAAGAATGGCTTAGGAAAAAGAAGAGGAAAGAAAGACGACTGGGAAAAATGGTTAGGAGAAAAACGTCGCATCGAACATGACAACAGGGAATTGTACGCTTTGTACAACTTTGCACAACTGTTGCCGGAGCAACTCCGTACGAATGCGTGGTGAATCACCCTTGACCTGACACATTATTGATGATATGAGACATTGAGCCTGGCATTACGGCGGTCCAACTATGACATGGGATCGGAAAGGCAGATCAGGGAAGCGCAACTGGGTCCCATCTGGGCTAGTTTTGTGGGTGCCATCTTTGTGGGTGCCATCTGGGTATAGTTATATGGGTACCAACTGGACGTACCGTTGTGGGCTCCAGCTGGGCATGTTCATGTGGGTCCCAACCAGGCAGCCCAGGTGGGTTCCAGTTAGACCCAATTCAGGCCCCGGGATGGCTGCCCACGCTGGAACCATTTGGTTGCCGTGATTCTGAACCTGCTACAGACTTGACGAACATATGTCGCTCGCATGGCCTCCTTTTGACAAAATCCTGTATCCGCCCCTGTCTTAGCGGCAGCGGCAGATGCCTTTACCTACTCCTCACACCACTATGGTAGATGCCTTCAGGTCGCACTCATCTCTCTACATGGTGCGGGCGTGGTGGCGGCATTTTGATGCTGTACATGATGATGCGAAAAAACAGCGCGGATGTTACTCATCGTCGGCAATGTGTTGTTTTAACGAGAACCCGCAAGCAGCCGACTCTCTTCAAACCAAACCGTTGTCTCGATCTTAATTAAAATGGACGGTACCCGCATAGGTAAAGAAAACATAAAGCAAAATAAAAAACAGCCAAAAGGCGTTCTAGATTTCGGTATGAAAAAAATAGCTGGTATCTATTTAACTAAGAGACTGTGAGAAAACAGTTCGATTTTATGTATCAGAATCTTGGAATTAACCCTGCCAAAGTTGGGGGCCGTTCCCCGGCCCAAAAGATAAGGGGGAACGCGCTCCTTATATTCCCCCCTCCCCATGTTTCTGCGCATATGGTCAAGAATCACTCGCGTTTTCGAGTCGCACACAACAGCTACGGGTATACTCAATGACGTCACTAGTATTCGAGTGATCGGCAACAGGATATGAAAAGATTTGACTTGCCGAAGAATCGCCTCCTTGGTGACCTTGGCGTCGTAGAAAATCCGTCTGAGGGGGGATACAGTGCTGTTTGGGATTATCAGCTGCGTGGAAGTGTTTGTGATGTCTATGAAATCTCATCCAAGAATGTGAAGTGCAGTAGGCTGAATTATTGAGACTCATTAGCGGTGTTTTGGTACCGGAACTCGGTCCCTGGCTGCCCAGTATTTGGTCGGAAGCGACTGATAATTGAAACTGCAGCGCAGTAACCGTCGAGGAAGGCTCACGGAGCTTTGTTATTCTCAATACATTTTATTGACAGTATACCCACTCATCAGCAATCATAGGTACCAGGACGCCTACAAATTTAGAGGGCCCTGCCAGTGAGGGGGAAATGGCGGAGACAGTTCAATCAAAACGAGCTAATTTCTCTGCCATAAATGTGGGTGGAAATGGCATCAGTGCTGTGGCAGGACAAGCTGCTGCAGCTAAGACTGGGTCGGCTAAGAAACTGGTCATCAAAAATTTGAGAGGTAAGATTTGCTAATTCTTTTGGTGTTATTTGGTCATGTGGATTAGATGTTGCTAGTTACACTTCATACACAGGTCTATGTTAAATCAATTCACAATCAATTCTGTCCTATGCATCCATTGTTGGTCATCAGTCATCTTTCATGAGGTATGAGTGCAATGCATTATAACTGTTTTGTCGATGCTCCCAATTGTGCAATGATGAGTAACCACTAATCACAGGCCAACCATGCCTTTGCTGTACACTTTAAGGTTAGAGTTTGATAAGGTCTTGCTTCACTCACTATGGTACAACTGATTCTTAAAGATAATACATGATAAAATAAATTTTAACTCTTAGAAATAAGATTGCATGCTGTCAAAAGTTTTACATAATAAATTGTGACATCAATGATAGAAATGGCATGAAATCTAACCTACTAGTGACACCCGACCTTTGTTATACTGTGGCCAGAGCAAAACTCCAACACAGGGGCATATCCAAGAAACTACCTAGGTCAAGTGGTCACCATTGTGGTATGTTTGTAATATTGCTATGAAAATTTCCATTTTGGATGTAAACATTTATTGTCAAATCCATGTGCTTGATGACATAATTTGAATCCCTTCAGCATGATTGCACTTAATTGCATATCCCAGTTTGTCAATAAGCTAAGCTCAATTTTACCAGGTTTATTCAATTATACAGAGACCACTATCTTCTTATAAATATGCTGTGTGCATTCACACACCTTATAACATAGCACACAATCTATGCAATTGTTGGTTATGCAAGGAAGGTATCTAAAAAGCATGCATTTATCACCTTATCTCAGACTTAGCCTTTTATGAGCATGGCAGAAGCAGTCCATAAGTTACATTCCACATTGTTGGCATCTGTTGGCAACTTTTCCTGTCACTGGTTGCACGCTGCTTATTCGGGGTGAAGTCCTTTCCCCTCTCCCCAGCTATCCTGTGTTTGAACAACATCCCCCCCCCAAAAAAAAATATGAGTATGGCCAGCATAGCATGCCAAAAAAGCAATATCAGTTAGCCTCCAACTGAGCTAGAGATTTAAAATGAATGGCAGGCACTCCTGGCTCAGAGAAGAGCCAATGGCATCCAGCTATAATGTGCTCATTATTTTTTTTAGAAAAAAATTATGGTTTGCTTCATGACCCCAGCTGAGTGTGACATTGCACCAACTTCCTTTCCCAGGCTTTTTGTGCCTCTACAATGCTTTTTCAAACCCTCCTCTCTCCCCTTCCATACGTAACTAAATATGAGGATGGTCTCCTACTTGAATATTCAGTTCTGATGATCTGTTAGTGGAAACAATTATGGTGGTGTAGGCACTGTTTATGTGCATTCATTTCAGGAATTGCCATCAGCTAGCCTCATTTTTACTTTTCCATGTCCATCAGCATACACCAGTAATTTGGAAGTCACTTCTGTTCAAAATACTTGAAATTCACAGAATCTTTGGTTCATCTTTAATCCCATCTCCTTTGTATCTTCCAATAATGCTTGTAAATTGATAAATGGAATGTGTTGTCAGGCAAATATCAATTAATTTCCAATTCTTCCTGAGTTTTCAAAAATGTTTGCCAATCTGGTGGCAATCAAACAGCTTTATGTTTCAAATAAGTCACTATAGACTGAAAAACATCTTAAAATGTCTACCTGATATGTTGAGATCTTTGACAGAAATGCTGTTGAACTGGAATCTTCCTTCCTTGTGGTGCAACATTTTTTACAACAATTGGTTAGCAAGGGCACTGGCTCAAAAACCACATCTGCATAACATTTGACCATATTACTGACATAACTATATTTGCTTCCTATGCCACAGAGCGGCCAAAGCTGCCCGACAATTACCAGGAGGTCACCTGGAGCAAGCTGAAGGAGGCTGTGCTGGCCATCCAGCAGTCCCGGTCCATCGCTTACAGTCTGGAAGAGCTCTACCAAGCTGTTGAGAACATGTGCAACCACAAGATGGCTGCCCAGCTGTATGCCAACCTGAAAGGTGCCATATGGTGCATCATTGTGTGTGCTGGTGCAATGTGGCTTCTGGCATCATGACAGTTACTGACCAAGTTGAGGTGTGTTTTTGCACCTTAATAAAGTGGGGCTTGTATCAAAATAAGCCAGGTTTGTAGAAAACGTTGAAGTTAACACAATCCATCCTGCACTAGATGTGTTGGGCACCATGCCTTTGCACTGTGCACTACACCCTGCTATCCCACAATGCCAGCTATAGCCTGGCCGCCATCTTGCCACCAGGTCAGCCTCAGCTGCCACTGCCGGGATTGAGCCTGCTCTTAAGAGAGTCAGCCATAGCCTGGCCGCCATCTTGCCATCAGGTCAGCCTCAGCTGCCACTGCTGGGGTTGAGGCTGCTCTTAAGAGAGTGCTGCCGCTCCGTGGCCCTGCTGTTTACAGCCCCCCCCCCCCCCCCCCCACCTGACCGCGAGCACTCATATTTTTCAGCGCTGACGGAGGCGCACGTGAAGCTGCAGGTGCTGAACTTCCTCGGTGACGAGACGGCAGACCGCGACCTCTTCTTACGCGAAATGAACGAGTGCTGGCAGAGCCACTGTCGACAGATGATCATGGTGCGCAGTATCTTCCTCTACCTGGACCGCACCTATGTGCTGCAGAGTCCGTCCATACTCAGCATCTGGTCAGTCACGCTACCACCGCCGCCGGCCGGGCACACTGTGGTGTTGGGAAAGGGGAGGGGCAACAGGCAGTGAACTTCAAGCCGGGGTTGAAGTAGCGTGAAAAATCGGTATCCCTGCTACCCAAGTGGCCGATTATTGAAACACTGGTGTAAACGTGCATACCATTATGTGTTGAGGGGGCTGAATAACTTGGTTGCTCGCGAGGAACAAGTGTGTGTTACAGTCACATGTTTTCCTCCAGTGCTTGAAACTTCACACACTGCTTGCCGTGAGCTGCTATGCAGACATTGTGTGTTTATGTGCCAGCTGTTCAGCGGAAGTTGTCCTTCCAAACCTAATGCTCACTGTATCAGGTATCAGTACATGCTGACATCACTGGGCGTTCCATTCCTCTGCTGCAGTTCTGTTTAGCATCGCCTTAAACTCAGTCTCCAAGATAGACCTCGGACGAAAACCCGGGCTGATTTGGTTTACCGCCTGGCAGAGACGAGTGCTGTATTACCACGCCGCCAACGCACCTAGAAACCCAGGCAGCACGACTTTTTAACGCACAACTGCCGTCGACCCCGCCCCGACGCTTGAATCATGGGTGTCCGACCCGCCGCCGCCGCCGCCGCCACTCACGCCGCCTGCCTCCGCTGCCAGGGACATGGGTCTGGACATCTTCCGCACGCACGTGATCACGGACGAGCTGGTGCAAAGCCGGACGGTCTCGGGCCTGCTGGCGCTGATCGAGCGCGAACGCGCCGGCGAGGCCGTCGACCGCATCTTGCTCAAGTCGCTGCTGCGCATGCTCTGCGACCTGCAGATCTATCAGGCGGCCTTCGAGGACAGGTGAAAGACGACGGCACGGCACGGCACGGCACGGCGCGGGCACGGGCACGGGCACGGGCACGGGCACGGGCACGGGCACGGCGCGGGACTGGGACTGAGACGGGCACGGCGTGGGACTTGGACTGGCACGGGCACGGCGCAGACTGGGACGGACACGAGAACGGACACGGACACGGACACGGACACGGACACGGACACGGACACGGACACGGACACGGACACGGGCACGGGCACGGGCACGGGCACGGGGAAGTAGGGAATTGTCGCCCTGTATCGCGAGTTGTAAGCCCGTTGGGGAGACCTGGCCAAGGAATGAGTGAACGCTGGTATGTGGGGACAGACGAGCGTGTTGAAGCTGTTTTGAATGGTGCGCACAGACTTGTGTTCAGAACAGCTGCTGCTTTTTTGAACGTTTTCTCTCAACAAAGATAGTTGGAAGGAATGCAAAGAGTTGGCTGCATAACAGGTGGTAGCGTTTTTACGCAGACGCCTACGTGCTATAAAAAATCGGACAGTACGGGATCCAATTCGCTGCAAGGTTAAGTGATAGGTACTCATGCAGAGTTCTTGTTACATCGACCTCATACGTATATATATATATATATATATATATATATATATATATATATATATATACATGCATACATTGTTTCGTTTGAGGAGTCCTGTGAGACCATTCCGTTAGCCGCGGAGTAGATGTCGCTGCGTGCACCTTCGACAACATACGCACGTCTGTGCGCCGTGCCGCGCCGGCTGCGTTTGTCACCGCCCTTTGACCTCTAGCGGGTACCCTGCCGCGATCGCGCCCGTCAGCGTTACGTTCGTTAGCCGTGGCCGAGTCTGTGACCCGCGACCGAGATGGGTTTGCCGTCTGTCGCTCGAGGCTCCCGTGAGGCGTCTGGTACAGTAGCTTCGTGTGTGTGGGTATGTGCAGTCCTTGGCCCAGTTTTCGACCGTGCTGTACCTGCCCGCGTCGCAGCATGCTCAGTTTGGTAGTGTGCGGTGTCGTGTGTTGACTGTAGCTGTCTCGTTGTTCTTGCGTGCTGTAACTAGTGTTGTTAGGTATGACCGCGACCATACCATGTATGGCCGCAGTCATAGTATCGATGGTCGCAGTCATAGCGGTTCGATGCTGTTGCCACCTGTCTGTTTTCGTATGTGCCGTGCCGTGTTCGGTGTCCCGGTATGCCGTGCGTGCTCTCGCGCGTGTCGTTTCTGGTGCTGTCAGACTTGGTGCGGCTGGTCGCCATGTATGTTCGTTGATTCATGCGGCCGCCTGCTAGATCTGTTTCTGACTTGTGACTGCCACTGTCATTCGCTGTCCCATTTGTGGCGATCTGCCACGTCTGGTGCGGCTGTGGCCGTCCGGCCGGGAGCCGCTCTGTGACGGCGCGCCTCGCCTGCCGTCTCACCTCCGCCGGCGAGCGGCGCGCCCGACTGACCAGCCGCCGCCGGCCCTGTCGCCAGGTTCCTGCAGGCCACCGATCGGCTGTACGCGGCCGAGGGTCAGCGCCTGCTGCAGGAGCGAGACGTGCCCCAGTACCTGGTGCACGTGGACCGACGTCTGCAGGAGGAGCACGAGCGGCTCCTCTACTACCTGGACGCCTCCACGCGGCGCATGCTCATCTACTCGGTGGAGAAGCAGCTGATCAGCGAGCACCTGGTGACCATGCTGCAGAAGGGGCTGGACCAGCTGCTGGAGCAGGGCCGGCTGCAGGAGCTGCGCCTCCTCTACAGCCTCGTGTCGCGAGTCAAGAACGGCCTGCTCGAGCTCGGCGCCGGCATGAGCACCTTTGTCAAGGTGAGGCGACAGGAGGAAGGGGAGGGCAGGGGCCCCGCTCGCTCCGCCAGCCGAGCCTCGCGCCTGAACGCAGACCTATCGAATGGATCGCGCGGTCCGTTCTCTGGCGCGGCTGTTAACAGTAGCGTTGTGAAGACAGCGGGCATTCCCCGCGGGACATCTGTAGCACGTGTGTCGAGACCTGTACCAAGTTGTCGCTGATGGGAAAGTATGCGGGCATCGATCCTGGTACTGGACACCTGGCAGGCGTTGGCTAATATAAGCGGGTGACTTCCTGGCTTGCGCGGTGGTCGGCGCCGTCTGCGCCAGTGATTGCTGGCCTGGTTTAGTGACGAGTGTGCCTGTCGATGTCGGCAGAAGCGTGGCAGGACGATCGTGGTGGACGAGGAGAAGGACCGCACCATGGTGCAGGAGCTGCTCGAGTTCAAGGACCACATGGACAACATCATGTCGCAGTGTTTCCAAAACAATGACAAGTTCCTGCAGCTGCTGCGAGACGCCTTCGAGAACTTCATCAACCAGCGGCAGAACAAGCCGGCGGAGATGATAGGTCAGTCAGCGGTGCCACCGAATGAGCCGGCGGCACAACAGGGCGTCGCGGTGTATCCTGGAGGCCGGTTTCTGGGTGGTGGGGTGTCGTGTGTTAAGCACATGCCTCTCACAAGGTGTCTGGCTCCGCCGGCTTGTCTGGAACCTTATCGTGGCTGGTGTTTTGCAGCTAAATATATCGACAACAAGCTGCGGTCCGGAAACAAGGAGGCGACGGAGGAAGAACTGGAGCGGCTCATGGACAAGATCATGGTCCTCTTCAGGTTCATCCACGGCAAAGATGTCTTCGAGGCCTTCTACAAAAAGGTTTGTGCTCTAGTGGGCTACAGCTTAATGTGACTTGAGTGCGTCACATGTGTCACCCATTACATGCGTTGGTGCGTGAGCACGTTTTTGCTTGGACTTCAGCCACCACCTTTATGGTGCCGTGGCATCCTTTGCCGCAGATGCGGCAAGGGATGCCACGGCACCGCTGATGCGATGGATGAGATGGTTACGGCTCTCACATATGGAATGTTTTAAGAATTCCGTCCTACCAGTTATGCACAGTGGGTACAAATGCTGTTGGTAGGCAAGGGGTGGTGTAGGGATTTAACCAATGGTCCAGGTGCTGCGTCTGTGTCCGTGTCTGCGTCTGCATCTGGGCAGACAAGCGTTTTCCACAAGAGTTCCGATCTCTTCGGCAGCCGTCGTTCACGGCCACGGTCGTCCCGGGCCCCCTCTTCGACCCCCCCCCTCCCCGCCTCCGGGGTTTGCACTCTGCCTCCCCGTGGACACCCTGTCTCATTCTCATCATTCCCGAGCCCCGCGTTCGTCATACGACGACTCGCTCACGTGCTCTCCCCGCGCCAGGATCTGGCCAAGCGTCTGCTGCTAGGGAAGTCGGCGAGCGTCGACGCCGAGAAGTCGATGCTCAGCAAGCTGAAGCAGGAGTGCGGCGCCGGCTTCACGTCCAAGCTGGAGGGCATGTTCAAGGACATGGAACTCAGCAAAGATATCATGCTCGCTTTCAAACAGGTCAGGATCAGGGTAGGGTGCAATGATGTTACTGAATAGAGATGCAACGGATGGTGGTGACGCTTGGTCTCGTCTCTGGATGCGGATGGCTGAACGCACTTTGATGTACGGGTCATATCGTGTTTTTAAGACCCTGCAGCATCTCCTCTGTTGCGTTTCCCACCGGCGGAGAGGTTAGTAGGCGAGCCAGCGGCGCCAGTAGGATCTGCTTACCGGAGGATCCCGCGAGAACCTCACGCGGGCCTCACGTCATTTCACCCGCCGTTTCCACGTCCCCCGCTTGTGTAACTCGGCGCTGTTCTGGGCGACACTGCACGCATCGCACCGCGCCGATCGCCGTGCCATTGTGTGGCGTCCAGTCGCGCTGTTCGCGACCTTGCAGCGGCGCCGCCAACCGTCTGACCCGATGACCCGCTTGCGGCCAGCACCAGGCGAACGCGCGCGAGGCGCCGTCGCTTGACCTCAACGTCAACATCCTGACGATGGGCTACTGGCCGACCTACCCGCCGGTGGAGGTGCACCTGCAGCCCGACATGGTGCCCCTGCAGGACCTGTTCAACAAGTTCTACCTGTCCAAGCACAGCGGTCGCAAACTGCAGTGGCAGCCCTCGCTCGGCCACTGCCTGCTGCGGGGCAACTTCCGCTGCGTGAGTGGTGCGCCGGACGGCCTCACCCCGCCCCCGGCCAGGGGTGGCGCCGCGTCCGGCCCGGGGACCGCAGGAGGGGAGACTGGCCGTAGATCAGTGACGGCGTCTCCGCCGGTGTTCGAAGCAGTTGACGTCTCGATGCGAGTCTATGTCGTCGTGTCGCCACATGCAGTCTCAGTGCTTCGCGCCTGTTTCCTGACGAGATCGCCGACGCCGGGCGGTACGCAGCTCAGCGGTGGGACTCGGTTGTGACATGTCGCGACGTGGCCGACAGGGCTACAAGGAGCTGCACGTGTCACTGTATCAGGCGCTGGTGCTGCTGCTCTTCAACGACCGGCCAGAGCTGACCGTGGAGGAGCTGCAGACGGCCACCAACATCGAGGTCGGTCCACCCCCCCCCCCCCCCCGCTGCGATAGCACGCTATGCCACGGATGAGTTACTCCTCCGCGCTGTTATCCCATCGTGCTAGTACATGGCGTCGTTCTCCGAGCACCCGGCTGAGCTGCACGCGACGGCGCCCTGGCGCGTCCGCGATGTGCGCCTGTGTGTGTGTGTGGGGGGGGGGGGGGGGGGTTGGCTGGTGCGCGCGGTGCGCCTGTTTGGTGCTGGACGCGAGACCTTTTGGGGCCGTCCGGCGTCGGAGCCCGGGACTTGCGGCGCGGGGCCTCACCTGACGCTGCCGGCAGCCGGACGAGCTGCGCCGCACCGTGCAGTCGCTGGCCTGCGGCAAAGCCCGCGTCATTCAGAAGCTGCCGCGCGGCAAGGAGGTCAACCCGGGCGACAAGTTCGTCTTCAACAGGGACTTCACGCACCAGCTCTACAGAATCAAGATTAATCAGATTCAGCTGAAGGAGACGGTGAGACTTCGGCACAGCCTGGCGTCTCGTGGCGTGGCCGCGCGCGGGCGGGCGCACGGCGTGGCGCGGCAACCTCGCCTCGCGCTCCGACCTGGCTCTCGACCAGTCTTGGGGGCCGTCGACGTCCGGTGCTGTGGTCAGGACCCGCCCGCCCGCCCGCAGTGCCGGTCCTAGGGAGCCCATCGCCCCGGGTCACCCCGCGATTGGATGTGTCGCGGGGGGCGGGCCCCGCCTCACGACGGACGCGTGGTCCGGCTGTTGTCTCGCTGCGGTGCGGCGGGCCCGGGCGCCCCCGGACGGCGATTCTGACGCTCCTTCTGACGATCCCCGCAGATAGAGGAGCAGAAGGACACCGAGGAGCGCGTGTTCCAGGACCGGCAGTACCAGATCGACGCCGCCATCGTGCGCGTCATGAAGATGCGGAAATCGCTGTCGCACAGTCTGCTCATATCGGAGTTGTACCACCAGCTCAAGTCCCAGTTCCAAGTCAAGGTGAGACTTCCGGCACTTTCCGCTCATTTCGAACGCGGGACCGACCGGGTGACTTGACTTGACGACTTGACTTGACCTGACCCGATTTGATGGCTTGACTTGATGGCTTGAGTTGATGACCTAACTTGGCGCATGACGTTACGGGCGGACTCATGGAGTGGTCTGCCAGATGTCCCACGAGTCAGACTTGCGACGACGTACCGCCACCTGCAGCCAGTTCAAGATAGCAAAGCTGGAGATAGCGAAACTTCAGCTAGCGCCGTCTCGAGGTCGTGGCTAGGTGCGCACCTCGCGCTTACGGGTGCGGTTCAAGAGCGGCGCGAGCTGCAGCGTGCTGTAGAGGCTGGCTGCCGGGGGCTGGAGCTGTCGCCGGTGGCCGCGCCAATTAGGCGGTCCAATGGTCACTTGCTCGTCCGCCAAGGATTGGCGGGAGTGTGATGGGAACTGTCGTAAGGTGGTGTGGCAGTTAGGTGCGTTCATAGATCTACTGGTTGGTAACGGTATGTAGCAACCAAATCCGCAGGCTTCATGGCAGTACACAGCAATTTCGTCCATTGAAGTGTTTGATGCCTCGCCATCAAGGAGGAAGGGGCGGGGTGTGGGACACAACAGGTCGTGCGGCAACCATTAAAAAGGAAACATTGGTATTACTTGATCTGCGGCATGCAGCGTTGGAAAATGACCGTTGAAATACATTTTTGGTCCACCTCTGCATGCTGCCTTTGCCCAATTTTACCCGAGCTTTGGTGTCCTTCGCAGCAGCCACACCGGCGCGGTCATTGTCCTTCTCCGGTTCTGTCTGTAGCTCCTCCCATCTAACGCCCCCCCCCCCCCCCTCCCCCCTCTGCCACTGCAGCCGACCGACCTGAAGAAGCGGATCGAGTCGCTGATCGACCGCGACTACATGGAGCGGGACAAGGACAGTCCCAACACATACAACTACGTGGCGTGAGCGGCCCGACCGGCCCCCAGTATGGCGCCCGGCCGGGGCTGGGGCGGTCTGTGGCCTCGGACCGCCGAGTGGGCGTCTGCGTGTTCGTGTACATACAGGTGCAGGTAGCACAGTGCCTGCTACGTTGCTCTTTCCGTGCGTTTATGAAGCAAATATAGATGGAACAGGTGCGGGGTGTTGGTCGTCGGAGAGCGGAGAACGGGAGCGGCTGGCAGCGGCCCGTGCGGTGGCGTTCTTCTCCATCGAATGGTTACACATATGTGAGCGGTTATTTGCGCCGCTCAGGTCTCACTAGCGAGCAATATGTTTGCGACAGGCGCGCTAGGGATCAGCGCCGCGACAAATCGCCCAGTGACGCGTGTTTTCCTGAGCTGATTTCGGGCATATCGATTACCGTCCTTGCGAAATATACCGGCCACGTCACCTCAGACCCACCTTTCTTGTAATATTTCCTTTGCCACGGGATCGGATGGGCACCGGCGTGTCCGCGAGGCGCGCGAGTAGACCGCCGACACCGGCGTGTCCAATACAAATTCAGTGCACCGAGCGAGGGTAGAACGACAGCCGCCGGCACCGGCGTGTCCAATACAAATTCAGTGCACTGAGCGTGGGTAGAACGACAGCCGCCGGCACCGGCGTGTCCAATACAAACTGAGTGCACTGAGCGTGGGTAGAACGACAGCCGCCGGCACCGGCGTGTCTAATACAAACGAAGTTGCACTGAGCGTGGGTAGAACGACAGCCGCCGGCACCGCGTGTCAATACAAACTGAGTGCACTGAGCGTGGGTAGAACGACAGCCGCCGGCACCGGCGTGTCAATACAAACTGAGGTGCACTGAGCGTGGGTAGAACGACAGCCGCCGGCACCGGCGTGTCCAATACAACTGAGTGCACTGAGCGGGGTAGAACGACAGCCGCCGGCACCGGCGTGTCGAATACAAACTAAGTGCACTGAGCGATTGGGTAGAACGACAGCCGCCGGCACCGGCGTGTCTGAATACAAACTGAGTGCACTGATCGTGGGTAGAACGACAGCCGCCGGCACCGGCGTGTTCATAATACAACGGAAGTGCACTGAGCGTGGGTAGAACGACAGCCGCCGGCACACCGGCGGTGTCTAATACAAAACTGAAGTGCACTGAGAGTGGGTAGAACGACAGCCGCCGGCAACCGGCGTGGTCTAATACAAACTTAAGTGTGCAACTGAGCGTGGGTAGGAACGACAGCCGCCGGCACCGGCGTGTCCAATACAAACTGAGTGCACTGAGCGTGGGTAGAACGACAGCCGCCGGCACCGGCGTGTCCAATACAAACTAAGTGCACTGAGCGTGGGTAGAACGACAGCCGCCGGCACCGGCGTGTCCAATACAAACTGAGTGCACTGAGCGAGGGTAGAACGACAGCCGCCGGCACCGGCGTGTCCAATACAAACTGAGTGCACTGAGCGTGGGTAGAACGACAGCCGCCGGCACCGGCGTGTCTAATACAAACTGAGTGCACTGAGCGAGGGTAGAACGACAGCCGCCGGCACCGGCGTGTCTAATACAAACTGAGTGCACTGAGCGTGGGTAGAACGACAGCCGCCGGCACCGGCGTGTCTAATACAAACTAGTGCACTGAGCGTGGGTAGAACGACAGCCGCCGGCACCGGCGTGTCCAATACAAACTGAGTGCACTGAGCGTGGGTAGAACGACAGCCGCCGGCACCGGCGTGTCTACAAACTAGTGCACTGAGCGTGGGTAGAACGACAGCCGCCGGCACCGGCGTGTCTAATACAAACTAAGTGCACTGAGCGAGGGTAGAACGACAGCCGCCGGCACCGGCGTGTCCAATACAAACTGAGTGCACTGAGCGTGGGTAGAACGACAGCCGCCGGCACCGGCGTGTCCAATACAAACTGAGTGCACTGAGCGTGGGTAGAACGACAGCCGCCGGCACCGGCGTGTCAATACAAACTAGTGCACTGAGCGTGGGTAGAACGACAGCCGCCGGCACCGGCGTGTCCAATACAAACTGAGTGCACTGAGCGTGGGTAGAACGACAGCCGCCGGCACCGGCGTGTCTAATACAAACTAGTGCACTGAGCGTGGGTAGAACGACAGCCGCCGGCACCGGCGTGTCTAATACAACTAAGTGCACTGAGCGTGGGTAGAACGACAGCCGCCGGCACCGGCGTGTCCAATACAAACTGAGTGCACTGAGCGTGGGTAGAACGACAGCCGCCGGCACCGGCGTGTCTAATACAAACTAGTGCACTGAGCGTGGGTAGAACGACAGCCGCCGGCACCGGCGTGTCCAATACAAACTGAGTGCACTGAGCGTGGGTAGAACGACAGCCGCCGGCACCGGCGTGTCTAATACAAACTAGTGCACTGAGCGTGGGTAGAACGACAGCCGCCGGCACCGGCGTGTCTATACAACTGAGTGCACTGAGCGTGGGTAGAACGACAGCCGCCGGCACCGGCGTGTCCAATACAAACTGAGTGCACTGAGCGTGGGTAGAACGACAGCCGCCGGCACCGGCGTGTCCAATACAAACTGTGCACTGAGCGTGGGTAGAACGACAGCCGCCGGCACCGGCGTGTCTAATACAAAATGTGCACTGAGCGTGGGTAGAACGACAGCCGCCGGCACCGGCGTGTCCAATACAAACTGAGTGCACTGAGCGTGGGTAGAACGACAGCCGCCGGCACCGGCGTGTCCAATACAAACTAAGTGCACTGAGCGTGGGTAGAACGACAGCCGCCGGCACCGGCGTGTCCAATACAAACTGAGTGCACTGAGCGTGGGTAGAACGACAGCCGCCGGCACCGGCGTGTCCATACAAACTGAGTGCACTGAGCGTGGGTAGAACGACAGCCGCCGGCACCGGCGTGTCCAATACAAACTGAGTGCACTGAGCGTGGGTAGAACGACAGCCGCCGGCACCGGCGTGTCCAATACAAACTGAGTGCACTGAGCGTGGGTAGAACGACAGCCGCCGGCACCGGCGTGTCTAATACAACTGAGTGCACTGAGCGAGTGGGAACGACAGCCGCCGGCACCGGCGTGTCCAATACAAACTGAGTGCACTGAGCGTGGGTAGAACGACAGCCGCCGGCACCGCGTGTCTATACAACATGTGCACTGAGCGTGGGTAAACGCGACACGCCGGCCACCGGCGTGTCAATACCAAACTGAGTTGCACTGAGCGTGGTAGAACGACAGCCGCCGGCACCCGGCGTGTCTAAATACAAACTAGTGCACTGAGCGGGTAGAACGACAGCCGCCGGCACCGGCGTGTCCAATACAAACTAGTGCACTGAGCGAGGGTAGAACGACAGCTGCCGGCACCGGCGTGTCCAATACAAACTAATGCACTGAGCGTGGGTAGAACGACAGCCGCCGGCACCGGCGTGTCCAATACAAAACTAGTGCACTGAGCGTGGGTAGAACGACAGCCGCCGCACCGGCGTGTCCAATACAAACTAAGTGCACTGAGCGGGGTAGAACGACAGCCGCCGGCACCGGCGTGTCCAATACAAACTAGTGCACTGAGCGAGGGTAGAACGACAGCCGCCGGCACCGGCGTGTCCAATACAAACTAAGTGCACTGAGCGAGGGTAGAACGACAGCCGCCGGCACCGGCGTGTCCAATACAAACTAAGTGCACTGAGCGAGGGTAGAACGACAGCCGCCGGCACGGCGTGTCCAATACAAACTGAGTGCACTGAGCGAGGGTAGAACGACAGCCGCCGGCACCGGCGTGTCCAATACAAACTGAGTGCACTGAGCGAGGGTAGAACGACAGCCGCCGGCACCGGCGTGTCCAACAAACTGAGTGCACTGAGCGAGGGTAGAACGACAGCCGCCGGCACCGGCGTGTCATACAAACTGAGTGCACTGAGCGTGGGTAGAACGACAGCCGCCGGCACCGGCGTGTCCAATACAAACTGAGTGCACTGAGCGTGGGTAGAACGACAGCCGCCGGCACCGGCGTGTCCAATACAAACTAGTGCACTGAGCGTGGGTAGAACGACAGCCGCCGGCACCGGCGTGTCCAATACAAACTGAGTGCACTGAGCGAGGGTAGAACGACAGCCGCCGGCACCGGCGTGTCCAATACAAACTGAGTGCACTGAGCGTGGGTAGAACGACAGCCGCCGGCACCGGCGTGTCCAATACAAACTGAGTGCACTGAGCGAGGGTAGAACGACAGCCGCCGCGCGCTGACTGCTTGGCCGGTTCGTTGTGACGAAATGCGAAACGCTTATACACAATTTCATCCGAACGGGGGTTTAGTAATTTGGTAACAGGGGCTTGGCTGGAATTCAAGATGCGTGTGATTTGAAAGTTAAATGATTACACGTGACTGCGCATTTTCGAAATGAGTTGGGGGGGGGAGGGGGGGTGAACGGTGAGGACATACATCCTTCTACCAAATTACAGCAGACGGGCTTCTCCCTAGATTTGGCCCACTTTATTCTCAAAGTCGGAGGGGGGATGGCTGAAGCCCCCCCCCGAACTGAGTAAGAAACTGCACTGCACCTGACTTATTGAAGCGCGCACGCATCTTTAACCAGTGCAGTGGTAAGGTTCTGCGACGCCAGCACGCATCCTGTGCTCCTGCTCTGCTTTGTCGTCACACACTCTTCACATCTAGACCTATGTAATAGAAACAGCATCATAATGTGGCGGACGCCCCCACACGCTCCGCTGCCACTACTTTCGCATGTGGCGGCCAGCCCGCCGGACGGCCGGCGGGCGGCAGTCTCCAGGTTCGTGCCACGGGCAGCCAGCAGCGCGTAGCGGTGCGCTAAGCAGTCCCCGGGCTTCATACTCGGGAGTGGGGACTCCAGGTCTTATTTCAACTGCACGGGAGTGCGTGCGTGGTCATCTATGCAAACACATTGTTCATGGCCGATCTCACCAGCTCACGTCCGTGTGTGAACCGCTCCTTACCACAGACGGAGGAATTTGGCGGCGATCAAACGGGCTGCAGTTATGCCAACAAATCCGCTAGAGCATGCCTCGTGCGATGACCAGGGTGCTTCCATGAAGATAAACTGATTCTTGTTCCGGAGCGACACCGACAGTCGTCTAACATCTGACAAGACTAGTTCGTTCTTCCACCTGGTTCCTACTTGGGCCAGGCCCTACCAGATCTCTTCCCGGCGGCCCCTGCGAGATCTGCTCCAGGCCAGATTCCGGTTCGCGGCCAGCAGTCAGCCGCATGACACATCCTAATGCCGACGTTTCTTTGGCTTGTATTCACAGCTGATTTTCAAACGGAGACACCTGTGCCCAGCTTCCCAAGATAAAACTACGAACTAAAGCACTTAAACTCGCGCCGTGTGGACAGTTTCAGCACACAAAAAGGTTCCCCAATCGTTTTGTTAACAAACGATCTTACAACTCAAAATCAAACTAGCATGACTACATTGAGAACACGTGTTTACATCGCGCGCTTTCGATTGCGTACAGTCGTAGTTTCGTTCTCTTCTGCAGTAAGTGGGCCCAGGTCCGGGACACAGCCGCGTCCTTGTGCAATTTAAACGAACTTTGATACACAAACTCGAGCTACTTTTCGATGAAACGGGCGCCAAACACCTCCTAAAATCCGGGACCAGCTGCCCAAACAACCAGTGCAGTGCCGCTGGTGCTAATGTAAGTGAAAGACAAACAGAAGCTGTGGGCGCGACACCTGCGGCGCGCGCTACAGCAATATAACCACCGCAAGGAGACTATCACTGACAACACCTAAGCACGCACCTCACCGCCTAACCAGTCGGCCCGCACGCGTCCGGATCGCCACCGATACAGAGGGTCAGTCCTCCGTCGGAACAGAGGGCCGGTCTCCTACCGGGACAGAGTGTCACCCCCCCACCGGTAGAGGGGCGGCTCTCCGCAGGGTCAGTCCCACGCCGAAACAAAGGGCCGTCCCCCGCTGCGACAGACAGCGGGGAAGGGGGGGGGGGGCATAAGGGTCAGCCCCCCCACGGGTTCAGTCCCACGCCAGGACAAAATGTGGGACGCGTGCGGACGCCGGAGGCCGGCGGCGTGCCTTACATCTATCGGAGAGTGAGTCGGCGGCGCGTGCGACGGTGCAGCGCGGCCCCAGGACCACGGCAGAGAAAATATACGCGTCCGTGACGTCACAGCCGGACCCGCCGTTAAGTTGACCGCCGGCCGCCGCCGCTCGGTGCGCGGCTCTCGCCACCGTCCTAGCCCCGCGGCCGCCCGAGGATACCGTAGCACACCAGCCCGCCCGACCAGTGACCGAGCGTCCCGCGTGCCCCGCTACATCGCCGGCCGCCGCCGCTTGGCGCGCGGTTCTCGCTACCGGCCCGGCCCCCGGCCGCCCAAGGATACCGTAACACACCAGCCCGCCCCGATCAGTGACCGAGCGTCCCGCGTGCCCCGCTACACCGCCCGCCGCCAGCCGGCCCGGAACGTCCACCCGTTCATCTCCCGTCACTCCTCCATCGACCCAGACCGGCCCGGTGTCCACCCTTCCCTCCTCCCGGGTCACAGAGCCCACCCGTCGTCCTGCCGCGGCCGGGCGGCAGCGCGCGGCGTCTACTTGGCGCGCGCGCCCGCCTCGCTGGTGGCGGCGTCGTAGCTGGGCGGCGGCGCCGGATAGTTGGCCAGGTCGACCTTGGAGAAGCGCGGGTCGGAGAGCGCCACCTCGTAGTCGGGCAGCGAGGCCGCCGGGTCGGGTTCGGCCGGTGCGCCGCCGCCGCCGCCGCCGCCGCCGCCGGCCTGGCGCATCAGCAGGTAGCGGTAGCAGGCCCACACCATGGCGATGAGGTACGCCTGCCGACGGACGCGGCGCGTCAGCCGACTCAGTAATCCGGCACCTCCCCGGATGTCCGTCGGGCATTACTCGTTCCGCAAACATCCGCTCATCCTCAGGAGCGGGCGCTTGCGGAACGAGTAATGTGATGTGACGTCCTCCCGCTCCACACAACTCACACAGAGGATGGCCTGAGAGCAAAGCGTCGTGCTGAGGACGGTTTCATGACCCATCGGCCAGGCAAGACGCAGAGCCTGCGGTAGTGCGAGCCTTTTTGGCGACCTCACGGCGCTCACCCGTGGGAGCTAGGCCGAGTCCGCACGGACCCGTCGTGCGAGCCCAGTTCGCAGCAACGCCAACAACGAGCCGACGAGACGGGGACGTCTCCGGCCGGCGCGTTTCAATTTGATCACCATGGCGACGAGGAAGGCCCGCGGCCAGCGCGTCTCGCCTTGATCACCATGGCGACGAGGAAGGCCTCCGGCCGGCGCATCTCAACCTGATCACCATGGCAACGAGGATGGCCTCCAACCGGCGAGTCTCACCTTGATCACCATGGCGACGAGGAAGGCCACCATCAGAATGAGCGAGAGCCAGCGCTGGTCCAGGGCGCAGCAGCTGGTCGCGGAACGGCAGGCTCGATGAGCGCACCAGCATCACGTGCAGGTCCGGCATGAAGGAGAAGTAGCTGATCATGGTCAGGCTGGGGAGGAAGCGGCACGTCAGACACCGTCGCTGGAGCGGCACTGGTGCTGGGACGATTCACAGCACACCGGCGTAGTAGATGGAAACATACGGTGCTCGACAACCGCTTACGGCAGACAACAAGCGAACCAGCATGATAACGCATCGTCGTTTTCACGCTAGAGGATCGGTTGAAGAGAAAAACTTCATGGAAAGCTCAAATCAATGTGCTAAAAAACTTGAAAATAGCATTAGCGGGCCGACGTGGCAACACTGCCTACCTGGAGATGCAGAAGTCGAACACTTGCAGACAGAAGAAGGGCATCAGGTAGGAGGGCTGTCCCTTGATGGCGCCTACCACCATCAGCAGCGTGATGATGAACGTGCAAAAGGTGATCATTATGCCTATGTTGAGGTCGTCCACGTTCCAGACCTGGCCGCCCAGCACCGAGTACGTGGGGCCGTACTTGGGCATGACGCGCGGCGGCAGCACCGCCTCGCTGCCGGCCCCTTCCGCCGACAGGTTGGCCGTCGGCGCGCGCTCCAGCTGCACATGTTGCAACATCTCTGGGTGGAAGATGACCATGGCCAGCGCCGACAGGGCCAGCACGTTCATCACCTGCCAAAAGGTTGTGATATGCTCACTGGATGTCAGACAGGGGCAGCATGTTCAATGTTCAGCCCCTTTGTGAATTTCAGGCAGAAAGTTGGCCACCTCCAGCTCATAGGTTGTTGACAGCTAGACTGAGAAATTGAATCAAACATGAGTCAACTAAATCCTCTGAATTGTCGCACATCGGCCGCCTACATGGCAATGTTTGCAAACCGGATAATAACCAGCTCATGCCCTAAATGTTCAAACTGTAGTTTTATCTCTGAATTGTTGCACATCGGCTGCCTACATGGCAATGTGCAAACCGGATGATAACCAGCTCATGCCCTAAATGTTCAAACTGTAGTTTTATCAGTCTGATGCACACATCAACACAACCAGACAGCAGCAACCGCCCAGTCACTGACCAGATGCCACATTCCCAGCATGATGGTGCCAGTGCGCACATGGACGCAGCCGCAGACGCGCTGGCCGCTGGCCCTCTGGCGGCGGCGCGGGCCGATGCGAGGCGACAGCTCAGACTCCTCCATGCTGATGAGACCTGGCAGCATCAGCAGTGTGGAACCCCTGCTTTACCTGATCACCAGGCAACTGAACTCTGAAAATAGATTAGCCTAATCACTTTCAGGTCAATAGCATGTGGCAGGAACCAGAAACTGGACTGGATTCTGCGGAGCACAGCCTAGATACAGTGTTATTAAAGGTGAAATCAGAGATTTGGATAGACAATTCAATAGTAACAAAATAAAACAATGTATCTTAATACAGGAGTTGTGACTTAGCATGGGGGATGCATCAGAAAAAGAATGACTGTGACATGGTGAACTCCAACTTCCAGTATGGGCTTTAAGCAGGATGTATGGCATGACTGCTAACATGTATGTACAATATCTTAATATGTCAATAATAAACAACTGTGCCTTTTTATGGCTGATATGCCAATACATGTTACTTGAATATAGGACACATAAACAATTTTATGGACTGACAAATCTTCCACTTTTTAGTGAATGAGGGCCACTGAGCTTTTACTAGTTCTGAATCCTTCTACAATGAGGATTTCTGACTATCTGATGTGCACCCAAGGTAACAAATAGTACAAATACCTTGCAAAAATAGCTCCTTTCCTAATATATCTTCATTGTTGAATGGGTCAGGGGGTACTTTCCTACCTCATGTTACAAAAGAGCATTGTACATCAATTGTTGTTTTTAAGGCAGAACAGATCATAATTAATAGCAAAACAGGTCATCTATACTCTTACCTTGGAACATAACTAAATATGATACCGAACATCCAACTGCCGCAAACACACAGCAGCCGCGACACCGGCGCCATTACTGCGTGCGGCCACAACATTACTGCTGCGCCAAGCAGCATCAAGAACCATAAAAACATACTGGGCAAGGTAACAAGAATCCATGAGGTTAGATAAGGTAAGGTAAGGTAAGGTTAGGTTAGGTTAGGTTAGGTTAGGTTAGGTTAGGTTAGGTTAGGCTAGGCTAGTTTAGGCTATGTTCTGGACTATTCTGGCCTATGTGTTTCATAAACATACCTAAATGCAATAAGAAACTATTTTCATTGCATTATTATTGTTACCTTGGTCTTGTACATTTTGTATAGTTCTTGGTAAGCAGAAATATTGTAATTACGCAATGGCAATGCAGAAACGGTGCTGGGGAGTCCAGGTGGTGCAGTGCATGTGGCGCTCAGGAGCTCGCCATTGTAGTTATTAAAATTTGAAGGTAGGAGCATGATTCTACCTGTTTTGAGATTACTTTGATATGTTCTGCCTTAAACATGACAAATAGTGTACAGTGATTTTTCTAACATTAGGTAGGAAAGTACAACTACACCACTGGTTAGTTTGAGCTCTGATCCCAGAAATCTTGTCATCCAACTCATTTGGATTTAATCTAAACAAAAAACAATGTTGTAATATTTTCACCCTAAAGAGCAAACGTAAACACCTTTAAAATTGTCTAACTGATATAATTGATATGGACAAATATCACTTCATAAACCATTGACAACCGGGCACAACAATCAAGGAGATGTTAAGATAGTACGGTAAATCCAGCCTAAGCAGTTGCCAGCCAGTCAAGGAATAAGTAATTTAAAAATCCTCCAGAACTATCGTCATGAATGCTGTTATAAACTGCGGAGCACCCGCTTAGTCTACATCAGATTTTTCCACGAACAGCTAGCATAAGTAAAGAAATAAATGGAACGGCGCAATTACGGCAGAACCAGTTGAAGAAATGTCTAAATATCACCACTCACCTTTCACAAAACTCAGTCCCCCCGCCGTCCGCGACCCTCTGGCCAATCCCGATCGATCCCAACCTTCCGCGATCCGGCGCACCCGCAGTCAAGGCTACGTTAAGGTGCGCAGTGGAGCTTGGGTGATAGCAACGGCTGGAAGATGGGTCAGCTGTCTCAAGGCCAAACAAATGACGCATTACTGGAGCACAACATATAACGAGTGAATCAATTGTTAACTACCTGGCACGGAGCCAAGAAAAATAATCTGGAAAACTAAGACGTGACAAAGATCTTTCCAGCAGATATTTTGTGTATTTGCAAAGATACACCAAAATCCACGCCCTTGACAAGTGTGGCGCGTTGGTTTAGTTGTCGGTAACCCCAAAACAAGTTAACCGTCCTTCATTAGTTCGTTCGCACGAACGAAACTACTAAGGGAAGAATCTATAGGCCGTCTGATGTGTCGCTGCTCCTGTTTAGGGAGGAATGTTCCATTGCCCGACCCCCCAGAAGCAGCAAAAAATCCGCTGGGGGCAACTTTCTCAAATTTATTATTTCACTTCAGGCGTCGCCACTGATTTGGCACAAGGAAACGTTGCCGTCGCCAGCTATTCGAAATGAAAACCAGGCAGGAGATTCTGTCGGGCCCTCGAGATTACTCACGAACTCCGCACGGGAACCCTTGCACCCTTCCAGACACATGAGCCTTCGAACAACCGTCCACTTAATCTCTTTGTTGGGGCTCTTGAATGAACCAGTGTCCAGGTCAATTCGAGGGAAAGGTATTCAGAAAAAAATAACTGTAGCATTGCTCTGGAACACAGTCATTACCCATGGCAGGACACACCACTCCAACACAGTCCAATTAATTGGGGAACGCATTTATTCAATGAAAATGAACAGACAGAGCAATGGAAAGCGCCGTCAACGGACCATGAACATGAAGGGGAGACGAGCAACAAGACTAGCACCACCCCGTGCGCTTCCATACAGGCAAATTCATCCAGCGCGCAACCACAGCCAATCCACGACATGAAACAAGAGGCCCGATAAGTGACTTCTTCTGCGCGGCAAGCCACGTCCGATCACGACTCCTATCGCCGTGAGCCAGGTCCCATCACGACTCCTACCGCCGTGAGCCAGGTCCCACCACGGCTCTGCCACTGCGAGCCATAGCTAATCACGGCCACTGTCGCGGACGGTAGGACCGGTTACGCCACTTCCTCGGTGGGCCCGTCGAAAATAGTCCTGACTCATGCCGGCGTCGTGATCGGCGCCGCCCACGTTCAGCATATTGAGCGTCACGTCCGACTTGACCGCCAGGCTGGCCTGCTGTTTGGCGCTAGGCGCCGGCCGCGGCCGCGCCGCCGCCCCGCCGTGCGCCTGCGCTCCGCCAAAGGCTTTCGTCTTGAGCGCGTTACGGATCTGGCTCCTGGCGATAGACCACAAGAGCGGTCGGTGCTAGCGCCAGAGTCCTGGGGTCTCGAGGGGGGGGGGGGGGGGACGGGGCAGCCGACCCCGATCACGGCATTACGAATCTGTCTGCTGTGGACATGAAACTGCTATGTCAGTCAGCGCATTCTATAGGGGAGATTATGTCACGCTAGTAACGTTGCCCCACAGGCCTCGTAATCTTGCCCAAAGTACGAGTCTGGCCGCTGCGAAGCCACGCGATTCGCCTAGCCATCACACCAAACATGATATTCATATGGAAGGTCTCGACACAGACGTCAGCAATATGCACACAAAGCACAGACACATCGTTGGGAGGAATGGGAGGGTGTCATAGCTCCAGAAGGTTGAGAAAATAATGAGCACAGAGCACCAAAACACGCATTGCACTTTATTCGGCCTATCGCCCTGGTCTAGTGTCTCAGTTTGCAGGCAGTTCTCATGCCAGGCGAGGGCGATAGTCCGAACAATTATTCCATTCAAGATCACAGAATCTCACTTACACGCTTCGTGTTTTCAGGATTTCGCCGATCTTCTGAGGGTCTGCGCCAAATCTTTTCACGGCTTCATGAAGCATTCGATTTCTTCCTCACGCCATTTTCCACTGAAACCGTCAATAAATATAGCATCCCGGGGTGCCGTCAGGTACTAAATGTTACAGGGTCTTGCTTTATTGCCGTTTCAAAGGTCAAAAACATGCGATGGCTGCAATGCTCCAAAAGGTTAATGGGACTGGTGCCCCATTAACACCAGTGGCAGTTAGAACCAAGGCATTGATAGCAGTTATGGGCTGTGCATGCCATAAACCAGTTACAATATCAGCATATATGGAGAGTGAACTGACACCCAATTGCAAACAAACCAGCATCCCACATCTCACTGATGTATAAATCATGACATCCCAGTGATTCACCTGTTGGTGGCATTGGGTGATGCCTGTTGTAGCTGCACAGCCATATTACCCAGCCGGTTGAATGCCTCGCCAGCCTCCACAAAGATCTCGCCCCACCTATTGATGAGTGTGACAGTCCTGATCAGCCATTGGCAGTTCAGCATAGTGTAGAGGTGACAAGGCACCAAAATCCACACAGCTGCTGCCAGATACCATGGGCAAATGTGACCAAACATGTCTATGACATCCCTTCTCACCATGGGCACAAACATGAGGACACAACACATATATCCAGACCAGGATAATACTACTATTCACAATATTTCCTCAGCTTAGAGGTCTACACACATACAGGCCAACAATTAACAAGACATTCATGTGGGTCAAGCAGGTGGTCACAAAACAAACCTTGCTTGCTGAATTCATGCTTCCTGGACTTGTTCTCTAAGGTCATCAAACTATGACACACATGATTGGAAACCTGAAATGATTGAGGACTTCACTTCCAGTGCACACTGCTTCAGTTAATGGTACCATGGTTATCCTCTGTTCAAGCAGATTCAATACATTATCTGCATAAAAATATTTGCTTCAAACTACCAGCACACCAGATGTTACAAATGTGTTGTGATTCCATATCTTGCACTTGTTCTGCAAAGTGCACCACTTCCAGCCATAAAAAGAGCAAAAACTAAAGGTGGTTGTTGGCATAGATCCACCACAGTGCAGACCTTGAAGATTTGGATACTTTCTGAGAATCAACAGCAAAACCAATCATTGTCATGACCACTGACATTTGACATTTAATCTACATCCATTTGTATTCCAATTTGGCTGATCAAATGTTTGTTTTCAGGTCAAGTAATTGTGTCCAAAACAAATTCATGAGCCCACCAGTATGCTAACCTGAGGACACAGTCTTTATCTTATGACTGCTGGGCAATGAAAAGACTTGATCTCAAGAGGCACCTGATTGTCTCAAGACTCAGTACATCAGCAACATGTAAGGTCATTGCTTTACAACTTGCAGCTGGTTAATCTGTTTTTGACCTTGTGATTTTGTCATAGCATTATAACCTCCCCAAACCTAGTGATGGCCACTTCAAAAATTCAGGATGAATAACTCCTTAAGAATTGAAGAGAAAAATGCAGGCAAATGCATGCATTCACCCACTTTGCTCCTATTTTCTTCAACCAGTATACAAAAATATAACAAAAGCACTTCTTTGCATGGGTAATTTACATTACTTGAGCAGTTTCAGCAAAATCATTGCACAAAAATACACAACCAGGTAACAGCCACACAGCCAAACACAGGGAAGTGACAGAGGACTTTGGTGTCACATCATGTTACACCCATTACAGATGATTGTCTACCAGACCAGGAGGTTCAATAGATTTACTTAAGGATCTCCAATGCCATCAGGAAAAATCCGATGGTATTTCAAGACAAGCAGGATGGTAAGCAATACAATGGGTCCTGTGAGTCATGTATCATAACCAGGGCCCTTTAACTCCTGCTGTGGCTGCGGTACCTATTCTTAAGGGCCTTGGCTTCTAAAAACTAAAACCCCTGTGTTAACCTAATGGAACACTGTGAGCCTGACATTACGGCAATTCATAGGAAGCTTAGCGAAACCTTCCTGCGTTCTCCAGCAATCTGCCCTGGCAATTGGCAGCAGTTTCAACGAAGAACAGATCACGGTCGCTGCAATGATGGCATGGCTGTCCTCCACACTGAAATAACTTCCATCCTCCTTTTAACCATCAGGCTCAGTAACAAAACGCTTGGACTAAATTAATTAAATGTTACTAGGCACCCAACCAAGTTCCGTCAGCATTGTGATTATTTCGGCGATGCATCTGCCACCTGCCACCGTTTTTACGAGGGGTACGTGTATTCCCCCGTTACACTCGGAGAGTTTGCCATAACCGGCCGTACGTCAGTTGTGTTTAAAGATGAGAATTCAGGCATGGTATTTACGCTCTTGACGCCTAGTGGTAGTCCTCATACATAATTTTTATATATCTTAAATGATGACACTTAACAAATTATGTATTATTTTACATGCTATAATACTAAAAGACAGCATGTTATCGCACAAAATTGTACAACTTATGATAAAAACCAAACTAAGGTATTTATGGAGCCTCAGTGAAGCCAAGTTAGTTTCGTCCCTGCTGCGTGTGTGGAGCTGGCGTTTCCATGACCTGTGATACCGGTCCTGCGTTTAAGCCCAGGGGTTTCGCACTCTAATCCAAGACAGGTTCAAGCTACCGGCCCCCTGAGTTCCTGCGATTGTTTGGCAGTTGAGTTGTACGTATGTTATCTAGGGGTGGGGTTTGAAGAGGCCGTTGAATAATAGGCGGTCGCCGGGGTGTTTTTGTCCATTGCAACCAACCGGGGGTAAGCAAGGTGGAGTGGAGTAAGTTGAAATACACACACAGTGCCATGTGAGGCAACAGCAATGCCTTATGAACGAAATGCGCAAAATAGTGTAGAAAGGCTGTTTTTTTACTTCCTCAGGTCACCATCTTATCAGATTTCATTGCTTTACACAAGCCAAGATTCTTCGGTAAATGCTGGTGGGTTATAATGGCAAGGATTGCAGTAGCCATATCCATACTACCTAATAAGACATATCACAAAAATATACTCAATGGGTAAAAGAGTAAACAAGGTTATCATTCACTTA